CGACCGAGGGATTGAACCTGTGTCTCCTGTGTCTCTTGCATTGGCAGGAAGATTGTTTACCCCTGAGCCCCTTAATTGGATGTGAGGAGAAATAAAATTTAGCATCTCTAAAATTTCTAAACAAATATCTAGTGTTCAATAGTAAGGTTCGATAACATTTAAGATTGATTTTAATCCTACAGATCATGACACTATTTTAGTGGCATAAGCCCCCCAGGGAGGAATTTTAACATACTTTGCAAATACTTCCTCCTCAACACCTAGTTCAGGCCATAGAGCTGTATGGTGAAGCTCCCATCCTAGACTTTGTCTTCTAAATACATTGTTTTTGACCATTACAGGGGAAAGCCTAATTTTCTTCCTGAGTCTTTGGGGCCTTCAAAAAAGTCAGCCTAAATTAATTCTTATGCCAAAGAGACACCATTTGGGGTGGCAAATTTTTGCTCCCTGTACTTCAAAGTACCGGCAGCTAACCAGCAACATGAGGTCATCTAAATAGTGTGCTTAAAGGGGACGGCATACTTTACTGTTCATGAATTTGCGATTTTTTAAAATATATATTTGAAGGAATTCTTTATTTTACTTCTGATTCCAATTACATTTTGAATTAGTAAAGTTGTTAAATAGAAAGTTTTTGACTGATTTGAGTATTGTATAGAAAGACAGTTCTATCAGGATGGGGAACACATGTACAGCCATGGCGGATTCAAGTCGATGTATGGCAAAACCAATACAATGTTGCAAAGTAAAATAAATAAACGAATTAAAAAAAAGAAAGACAGTTCTATATATGTACACATGCATATGGGCTTCCCAGGTCGCACAATGTTAAAGAATCCACCTGCCAATGCAGAAGACACAACAGATGAGGGTTCAATCCCCTGGAGGAGGAAATGACAACCTACTCTAATGTCCTAGCGCCAAAAATTCCACGAACAAAAGAAACAGGCAGGCTGGAGTCCATGGAGTCTCAAAAAGTTGGACATCACTGAGCAGATGAACACACACACGCATGCACACATACACACACACGCACACATACACACACATGCATATACAGAATAACCGCTATATAGGTATTTAGATGTAAGTGCATATTTCAGAACATCTCATTAATATTTTCCCTAGTTAAAGTTAAACTTTACCTAGTGGCCATATGTTTTTCCCTGTATCAGTATACACTTATGTAAGGTCAGATCCAGGTTGGAAGAGACCAGTACATTCCACTTTAAATAGTTTTCTAATTTTCTGACATAGACACACACACATTCAAGCACCAACAAAATCATCATATATAAAATTGGCACAAATAAAACTATATAAAATGTGTTTCTATCCCATAGAAAATCATTTCAATACTGTCTCCTAACTTCCCAACAGGAAAATTAGCCTTTCTCATGGAGTGTGATATTAAAACTGTGTCCAAGGAGAGCAATTCATGCCTAGAGAATGCCATATCTATCTCTGGTCCCTCATGAATGAAGACATCGTATTAAAATATCAGAGTTGGAAACTGCGACTAGAAACCAGGAATTCATTTCTCTAGCTTCAAACTCCAGTTAGGGAAATTAACTTCAAATTCTTATTAGCAAAACTCTGCAATTAATTTGTTTTAGTGATTAATATTTACTGTCATTTAACACATTAAAGGATGCCAACAGCTACTTAAGACAGGTTCTCTACAATAGCATTTTTTAAATTATTTAGTTTTGTGTTAAAAAAAATAGTTTGTGATTTGTTCTGTTGACATATTAAAGACAGCTTGATAAAATAGTTGATATTGAGATTGTATCTGTTGTCAGGGCAACTCTAGAAGAAATACTTTCCCAAATGGTATCTATAGGCTCAAGTAAGACAAGACCCTGATGGTGGGTAAGTCTGAAGGTGGGAGGAGAAGGGGACGACAGAGGATGAGATGGTTGGATGGCATCACCGACTCAATGGACATGAGTTTGAGCAAGCTCCGGGAGTTGGCGATGGACAGGGAAGACTGGCGTGCTGCAGTCCGTGGGGTCACAAAAAGTTAGACATGACTGAGTGACCAAACTGAATTGAACTGAAGACAAGAAATTACTATAAATAAAATCACGCTGATGGAACATAATAAAGAACACAGCTATAAGTGAATTCCTCTGAAGTAGGCAACAAGAAGATTTAGAAGTCAGAAAGATTGAAGTTCTAATTGCTGCTTCACTACTTGCAACACAATTTAAGTGATTTTTTTTTTTCTTATCACAAGAGTACTAACTCTGAACTTCAGTGTCTTTACCTATAAAATGGGAGTTACAACACTAAAACAAGTTTGGTATTTATTATTTAATGCAAGTAGTGTGCGTGAACACAGATGTGAACATATCCAGAGATATATTACAGTTTAATTTTCATGCCTGAGTGTCAGTCACTTTTCTGAAGTGTATGAAACACTTAATGTGTCCCCTTCACAGATAAATAAGGGTGAGTTATGTCCCTGAGTTTGGAATCCAGGAAAGAGAGAAAATCATCATTTTCCTACAAAGATGCTTTTGGGAAGAATCAGAAATGCTCCCGATTGAGGTGATGTTATTGAGCCTATTAATTGCATCAATGCTTGGTTGCAATAATTGATATCAAGATGCCTGTGTGCATGCTAAGTTGCTTCAGTCATGTCCAACTCTGTAACCCCATGAGACTGGCAGACTCCTCTGTGCGTGGGATTCTCCAGGCAAAAATATTGGAGTGGGTCTCCATGCCCTCCTCCAGAGGATCCCTACCCAGGGATCGAACCTACATCTCTTATATCTCCTGCATCGGCCGGTGGGTTCTTTAACATGCGTGCCACCTGGGAAGCCCTGATATCCAGAAGGGAGTATGATAATTTGTGGTTACTCTCAAGGTGTTTCTATTCTGCACAGTATCAGAGCATTCTAAATACACAGTTGGTTACTGAAGAACTGTGACTAGAAATAAAAGTATGATGCACTGGGGTTACAAGAAAACTTGGAAAGGATAGTTGTGCTGACTTAACAAGATGACAGCAACAGGACATTGGAAGGTATCCTTGAAGGAGAAAAATTCTGAGCAGATAGGTTGTTCTCAGTTGCTTCTCCAAAGTTCAGTTCCCTTTAACGTCTCTTTAATAAGACTCTGAGTTTCCAGAGGGTGGGGGCTTCCCCAGGTGGCTCAGTTGTAAAGAATCTTCCAACCAATGCAGGACCACAGGAGATGTGGTTTCAATCCCTGGATCAGGAAGATGGCCTGGAGTAGAAAATGGCAACCAACTCCAGTATTCTTGCCTGGGAAATCCCATGGACAGAGGAACTTGGCGGGTTACAATACATGAGGTCACAAAAGAGATACAACTGATGTGACTAAGCCTCTGACTAGGTTGAGTCATTTGATTATGCAAAAAAAAAAAACCCTTAGCTGCAGTGTAGGGCCAAGGACGGGCGCTTTAGCCATAAATGCTTCTTCTACTTCAAACCAGTCAAACTCAGAATTTGTTGTTGAGAACGGTTTAGCAAATGCCTCTAGGTTGTAAGTGGGGCAGAAGACATCTTTTATGTCCAAGTTTTTTTCTTCCAGAATTTTCTTTAGTTCTTTTGATCTTAGGAACTCTCAATTTCCTTCTGATTTTTTTCTGTATTGAATTATGTTGTGTATTTTATTTTGTCTATTTTATTGTATGTATTTTATGTTTCTCTATACTAGACAGGAATGCTCATCTGCTGGTAACTACTCTATCTCAATCAGAGCTAAAAGTTCCCATGGTAGAAATGTATAAATGCATTTGTAACTTAACAATTTATAAAGTTAATTGTTTTCTTTAATCTTCTTCTGAAAAAGTCATGCTCTTTCCTAGAATTTTAGTTATGTTTTGACCTTTTATCTATTCAATTGACCTATTATCACTATTGTTTTAAACTGTCAGTATTTGTCTAAATTTGACAACATTTACAATATATCTGAAGCATCACTAGTGCATCTTGGGCTTTCCTTCTGGGAGTATTTTTATGTTTCTTGTAAGTACATCCCTAGGATAATAAACATAAACCATAACCAATTAAGTAAGTCTGCTGTGCAACTGCCTGAGTTTCTAGGTGTTATTCTATTTAACTTTGAAATCTAAGTTTAAAAAAATGTTGTTTGCTGTTTTATTCATTAGGTCACGTTCGACTCTTTGCAACCTCATGGACTGTAGCCCGCCAGGTTCCTCTGTCCATGGGATTTCCCAGGCAAGAGTACTGGAGTGGGTTGCCATTTCCTTCAGGAGATCTTCCCTACCCAGGGATCAAACCTGCAACTCTTGCATTGGCAGGTGTATTCTTTACCACTGAGCCACCAATAGATGATTGTAAACAAATATTAATGAAGTAAGCTCCCAAAGATAGTTTTAGAACAAGAAAAGAGTCACATTAAAAATTATATACATTATTATCTGTTTATATCTTTTGTCTGAGAGCTTTGGTGTTACTTTGAAACTCTGAGACCCCATGAAATTAAACCTGGCTTTTTCTCATCTTTTTGTGAAACCAAAATTATTGAGCCTTGTCTTTAAAGTGCTGCCTAATCTATGTTGATAGAGTGCAGATTATTATGGAAACTATAATAATCACAGAGAAATTGATAATGATTTGCATCAGTTGTTAGTTGTAAAGCTTTTACTATTAAAAAAATTATTTAACAACTGCAATTACTAGTTATGAAGTTTTATTAGATATAGAGATAAATGGTTCTTCTGATATCTAACACAGTATATAAAGCATCATTGTGTTTATGGTAAAATTGTGATCTTCACATGTTGATACTTTATAGCCAGTTAAGGATTTGGAAATCATAATGTTTCACTTTTTACATGATTATATTTTTAAATGATTTTATTGCCAATAATACAGTGACAGAAGTTTTGTAACTAATAGAGCCAAATATTCAAGTAGAGTTGACTCTTGAACAATTCAGATTTGAACTGCACAGATGCCCTTATATGCATATTTTTTTCAATAGTGTACATACCACAGTACTACATGAAACACAGTTGGTTGAAGCCATGGATGTGGAACCTTGGAAGCAGAGAGTCAGCTGTAAAATTATACATGGATTTTTTATTTCACAGGATATTGGCACCTCTAACCCTTGCTGTTGTTCAAGACTCCACTATATTATCCTCTCCTACAACTATGACTTGCCGCTTTCCAGGTGGTGCTAGTGGTAAAGAACCAGCCTGCCAGTGCAGAGATGCAGGTTCGTCCCCTGGGTCAGGAAGATCCCTGGAGGAGGACATGGCAACCTACTCCAGTATTTTTGCCTGGAGAATCCCATTGACAGAGAAGCCTGGCGGGCTATGGGCATTAGGGTTGCAAAAAGCTGGACATGACTGAAGTGACAGCACAACACAGCTACAACTTACTAAAAGAAACTCTATCTCAATTCTACCAGCATAAACATTCTAGAATCCCCTTTAATATAGAATAAATTTGGTACTTTACTATTACACCAAAGCTCAAAATGTGAAGGCCTTCAGAACAAGCAATTCACTAAAAAACACTCCCTTTCACGTAACTTCCTGATACTAAACCCTTCCAGGGAAAGAAAAGTAGACGGAGATGTAAAAAACATTTATTGACTGGGTTTTGCTTGCTGTACGGTACACTAAGTGCTTTAAATATGCTAGTTCATTTCCAATTTCATAAAATAGACATTTTTATTTTCATTTTCAAGATGTGACAATTGCAAGAAATAAAGTTTAGTACCTTCCCATAAGTCTTGACACTATTGAGTGTGAAGCTTTAATTTGAAAAGCAGGTGTATGTAAATTTTCCCACTCAATGCATATTAAATGTAAAAGTAACAGAAACAAATAGAAGAAGATGGAAAGCTTTAAAGGAGAAGAGAATGAGTGCCTAAAAACAGCTTCATTATCTTCACAAACTTCTAAGACAGCACGATAGATCCCCCAATCCACTGACTTTATTTTTTTCACATCACTTCTATCCGTTTCATATGTAATCCATTTTAGTGCTTAGAAACATCTGTTAGGAGTGACCTAAGAGAAGGAGGTGGAGAAAGAGAGAGATTAAGAGAAAGAGTGCTTCAGATATATTTGGTCGTCTCATATGATTACAGTATAGACCATCATCCAAATTAACACCAAGAATTAATTGCAATCCTTCTGAGTGCATTTTGAGGTTTCCCCTGTGGCTCAGTGATAAAGAATCCCCTTGCCAATGCAAGAGACACGGGTTGGATCCCTGATCGTGGTAGACACCACGTGACACATAAGCCCACCTGCCACCGTTATTGAGCCTGGCTGGGAACCACAACTACTTAGCCCATGAGCCACAAGAGCTGAGACCCAGGCCCCTCATTACTGAAGGCCGCGCACCATTGAGCCCCATGCTCCACAGCAAGAGAAGCCACTGCAATGGGAAACCTTGGCACAGCAACTAGAGAATAGTCCCCACTCTCCGCAACTAAAGACAAGCCGGTGCAGCAATGAAGACCCAGAGAAGTGAAAAGTAAATAAATAAGATTATTATTTTTTTTTATCTGTAACTAGATGAGGTCCAACAAATTGACACAGGCAGATAATATAGAAAGTATTGTAGATCATGTTAAGGATTATTGACTTTATGTGTAAGGAAGGTACTGGAAAAATGGCTCATTTGTATTTCACTTTGTGAAAACTTTCCTGACTTCCAGAGAAATAAATGAATAATTAAAGAGGACATAACAAGAAAAAGAGAAAAAGGAGAGAAAATAAAGAAAGTGAAGTTGCTCAGTCGTGTCCAACTCTTTGCGATCCCACGGACTGTGGCCTGCCAGGCTCCTCCATCCATGGGGTTTTCCAGGCAAGAGTACTGGAGTGAGTTGCCCTTTCTTCCTCCGGGGGATCTTCCCAACCCAGGGATCGAACCCAGGTCTCCCGCCTTGCAGGCAGACGCTTTACCGTCTGAGCCACCAGGGGAGCCACCAGGGAAGCCCCCAGGAAAGGAAAGAAAAAAGAAGAGGAAACAAGAAAACTCCTCTGTACTCCCAAGGAATTTTTAAGTCATTAGTGTAACACAGATCAATAGCAAACTTTTTCCCTAACTCTACTTTATAAGGAGATTTGTAGCTGAAACTGTTATTTGTGATAATGGAAGAAGTCAGGAGATGATTAAACCAGTCTATAAAATAATGCGAAAGAAAGAGGAGATAACATTACCAAGTTGGAATTACTGTTTTGAGAGAGGAAAAGACTTCTCTTGTAGATGGAATTACAAAGATTTGTAGGGGGAGGACTTCTGTAATATTTAGTACAGAAAGGGGAGAGTAGCAAAGGTAAGTGGATTTTACATGTGATGTAATTTCTTTTGCCAGTTATTTGAGACATTTTAGTGAAGATGTAAATTGCTTTTCAGTGCTTTGCATACTTCAAATTGGTGACTCTTTTGAATGTAAGTTGATGCAGAAATTGACTTCAAGACAGCTCATCAACTAGAGAAGCCCAATGGATGTTGTGTTAGCATTAGTTGTATGTGTTTCCAGTGAGAGAATAGGTGTCATATGCTTTGGTATCTATTTTCCTAATCCCTTCTCTTCTATACTATAGTTGACACAATTCCCTTTTGCAGGCAGAAGTACATCCATATGCTGCCCTAAATGTGACCTCGGTCAATAGAAATGTAAGAGATTGCCCAGGGTTTCTTATTGCTATGTGAGTAACTGCACACAAGCATGTCATCTGTTCTTTATCTAGAATTTGCAGTTGCTTATGTAACTCATTATGTCTTCCTCCTTGTACAGCTAATGACCCTTATATCAAGCTATTCTTTTAAAGGGAGTACTGAATCTGTTGGGTCCTGGTATGTATGAAACCATAAACTAGAAAATGCATACAGTAGCTACCACAAGAGTACTTTTTTGCAAGTAGTATATAAGATTTTAATTAAAACTCAGTGAATATATAGATTAAATGAGTTCTGAGTATCTGTTCTGTTCTTTAATTCCAAGTCCTCAATTCTTAAAGAAATATGCATTAATAATACATATTAATAATATATACCAATATACATTAATAATAAAGCCAGTCTTATTTCAAGACCACAGCTAAATTATTGCTTGATGGAGTTTATTTGGTGGCAACTACAGTAGTTGTTCATTTCTTTTATGGTTGTGTTCAGCAAAGAGTTTTACAAAAGTATGCCACTTGATCTGCTTCCCTGGTGGTAAAGATGGTAAAGAATCTGCCTGCAATGCAGGAGACTTGGGTTCGATCCCAAGGTCAGGAAGGTCCCCTGGAAAAAGGAATGGCTACCCACTCCAGTATTCTTGCCTAGAGAGTTCAATAAACAGAGGAGCCTGACAGGCTACAGTCCATGCGGTTGCAAAGTCGGCCATGACTGAGGGACTTTCACTTTGACTTTTATGTTCTTAAACCATGCATGTAAATGTTTTCCACCATTATGCCTTCACAGTGTTATTATGGACAAAAATATATCTATCAAATATTAATTTTTGCATACATATATTTACAAAAATCTGAATACATCCATGACAAAATAGAAACAGCATGATGAACTAGAAATATCTCACGTGTTAAAAGATATGCTTGAGTGTGCCAAGAATTACTAAAAAGTATATTCAATTTGATTCTTATTATATACCCACAGATGTTCATTTAGTGAATCCAGGGTGGGTCTCAGGACTCTGGATTTTTAAATTAACTTTACCTCCTTCACCTCTCCTAACCCCAAGAGATTCTGATGAGGAAACACAACTTCAGAAACTTTGCATTGTATTGAATTACACAAAGGCCCTTTTCAGCACTTTTTGCCTAACTTCCTCTTTTTTTTTTTAAAACTCACCTTAGAAGTCATTGTTCTCCATGGAAGCAATCAAATGTTGAGTTTAGTTTAATTCTATACAGAATAGCAAACTTCTGATGTTAAGTTGGTGTCTCATTTTTATTGAAGTATAAGTGCTTTCCAATGTTGTGTTAATTTCTCCTGTACAGCAAAGTGAATCAGCTATAGGTGTACATCTATCCCCTCACTTTTGAACCTCCCTCCCGCCACCTTTCCCGCATCCCATCCATCTCCGTCATCTGAGCTGAGCTCCCTGGGCAGCAGCTTCCCACTAGTTATCCATATCACATATGGTAGTGTATATTTGTCAGTCCTACCCTCTCAATTTATCTCTTCACCCTCCCCTTCCCCTTGTATCCGCATGTTGGCTCTCTATGTCTGTGTCTCTATTCCTGCCCTGAAAACAGGCTTATTGTACCATCTTTCTAGATTCTATACATATGTATGGAATCTAATTTGGTCTCTTAAAACAGATTTTCCTACTGAGACGATAACTCATTGAGTAGTTAGAAGTTACTACATGTCCTCAGTTTAAAGTAATACTTTGTCATCCTAGTGCATGTGTTTCTCAGGAATCTGATCAGCATGAATAAAACATATCTGAAATCTGAACACCAGGCAAAGCAGTAAAACTGAGATAATTAATTTCAGAAATGAAGAGCAAGTCTTGAAATAGAATATAATATCTTATGAAATATCACCTAAAAACAAAGCAGAAAAGGATACCCATCTCTTGTGCAGTGTGCTGTGCTAACTCACTTCAGTCATGGCTGACTCTGCGACCCTATGGACTGTAGCCCATTAGTCTCCTCTGTCCATTGGATTCTCCAAGCAAGATTACTGGAGTGGGTCGCCATGCCTTTCTCCAGAGGATCTCCCCAACCCAGGGATTGAACCTGCATCTTCAGCAGTATCTGTATTGCAGGCAGACTCTTTCCCATCTGAGCCACCAGGGATGCCGCCCCCCCACCGCCGCAACCCCATCTCTTAGGTTTGGCCTATTTTCAACAACATCTGGGATGAAACATAACTCATTTTTACGCAACTAGTGGCTTTGTAAGTTTTGCCATAACGATGACATTTCTATTTACTGAAATACTCATCCATTTTATGTAAGATACAAAATTTAAGAGAAGTAATATTAATCATTATTTTCCCCTTTTACAATGAGTCATCCCTTGCATGCTCTTAATTTTATTTAAATTTTACTTTTTGATCTGTGTTTTCATTTTTCAAGTCATAAGTAATTTGATTGCTAGGGTGTGTGTGTGTGTGTGTGTGTGTGTGTTAGAGAGAGAGAAATAGAGCAAGAGAGAGAGAGAATTTGTATCCATGTGGTTTATTTTTTTTTTTAACTCTTCTCAGTAAAATCAGTAAGATTTTGCCTTTTTTTTCTCCCCACGTTTGACAGATATAGACATGAAGATAAGAATCACGATAGGCTGTTGAATAGTTTATCTGTTTGTAGTTTAGCTTCAAATATATGACTCTAAATTTCAGAATAGATACATCACTTGGTGTAGTTCAGATAA